CATCCCTGGCTAGAGAGCTTACACCTGGGTAGCTCACTAGCCAGGGGGCTGGAACACTTATGGCCCTCTTCACCACGTTTCTCGGGCATTAGATATTTTTGGCACTCCAACTGAATGCCTATCTATACTACCTTGAGTATGTGACCCTGCCAGCCTAGCTGTCTAAATTGTTCTCCTGGTAACAGGTGGTTAAGTGGATCCATGGATCAGTGTGGTCCTTTCAGGTAACAACTGGTCTGTACAAATTGAATAAGTCTGGGCCTTCAGACAGAGATCTTTTATCAGAATCTGCACACTGGAGCAAGAATGCTCATTCATGATAACAGTTGTGGTCAGGAAGACTGCATCCAGGAAGGTTTGGGGGGATGATTTGGCTAGCACCTGCTTCTGAAATAACAAGAGTTCAATTCAGTCCTCACATCCTGTGAGAACTTGTTAAAACACCACTACCAATCCCACATCTAGTTTATTTAGCAACTATGAATTATTACTTTGCTATCTGTGGTTACAGAGAATCCAAAGAACAGGTCTTACTAGCTAAAAAATAAAAAACATTTAGGTCTTCAGGCACATCCTTCTGGTTGGACTTTTCCTGCACTGTAGACACCAGCAAGAAGTCAGGAATCTGATGCAAATCAAGTGTCCAAAACGATTATGGGTCTCTCTTCTGTTCATTTCAGAACTGCAGATTGAGAAACTGAAATATGCCATAGGTCTTCAGAAATCTTTAGGACTAGTTTAGTGAAGTGTTGGTCTACTTAGATTAGAACAAGCAATGTCAAGTAACACCTTCCTCTAGACAGCAGAAAATTCAGTGTCTCAAAAGGTATAAAATCCCTCCCAGGAACACTCAGAAAGGTATGGAGTTGTGATATAGTGGTACTGGAGTAGATGTTACTTTCGTGCCTGAGCCTTTACCTCCTTTCCAGGTTATTCTCCACCCCCACTCCCCTAACCCCATTCCCTTGAGAGGTGCTATCCACCGAGTAGTCTAATCAAGAGCATAACTAGTGAAGGGAATCAAGGTCATTTCCAGGAAGTAAGAGAGAGAGAGAAAGAGACACACACACACAGTAGCTCCTATATGGCCGGGGGGGGAAAAAAAAACCCTTAGACCCTCCACATCATCAGAGTAAGCCACTAGAATGAGAGGGTTCAGAGGCACTAGCAGTGTCTGTCAGTCACGTTCAAGTCCATAAGAGAGAGAGAGCAACAGGCAGACAACAATGAGTTCAGCCTCAGTGCCCTGGGCACTAAAAGGAAACACATAATCAAGACTACTCTGCCCTACCTTCAGATGCAGAGGGACAGAAGGATGTCCTAGTCATAATCTCAACAGACAAAGCTGATCAAAAGATACTAAATCTTATATATACAAGACACATGCACACCATGAAATTGGAATCCACGCAGACAAAGATGCAAAGTGTTCTGTTTGTGGTTATCAAGTACAAGGACCCTGATCTTGCTGAACAAGGGGCTTTACTATTTTGGGGAAAAGTTTAGTCTCTGATAATAACACTAAAGCAGAACACAATATTAACTATGAAACCACCACCAAAAAAAAAAGAAGTTTCATAATACTAACAAAGAAAAAATTGCTTGGTAAACACCAATGTTCTACTTAAAGGCCTAAGCTGTGATACTCAACCTGAGAACTGTCACAGATGTTAGATGAACATGACGTGTTAAATCCCATTCTATTAATTTTGTAGGGACTGTTGCAGGACTGTTCCCTGTGTTTATTACAAGATATTTTCTTAGCTTTGTCTAACTTCGGAGGTTAGAATGTTCAACCAAGTTCCATTAGTCCAGTTCCATTATATAATGGAATTACCACAAATTACTAGAATTATATGCAAAGAAAATTCTGTTTTTCCAAAATGGCAAGATGGTAGTTGGAAAAATATCTTCACAATTCAAGTTAGCAGTTAAAGTACATCCTAGATTTTGCAATCTGCACAAATATTCTATGAAAATATCTTTCATAACTCACCATCTCAATTCTAAAAGGCTTGTTTTGTGACCTTGGTTTTAGCATCTAAACATTTTCTTTTAAGGAATTTACGTGAGGATTACCAACAAGTCAGTAGGTGCCATTATCTGGAAATATTTGGTTAAGTCACTAGGAATACTATCTCCCTGCAGTCCTTAATATATTATATATATACTACTATATATAGTAAAGTGTGTAGTGATAGGCTAGGGTTTCTCTGAAGCACTGCATCTAACAAGATATGAGCACAGGCTTCATAGCTAAATTAACTATTTGCATTTGTGAAGTACATCCTTGCTCCATTCCGTATTTTTGTAAAAGTGGTAGGCAAATCTGAAACAAATTTTTATTACTTAAACAATGCCTAACCTAACTGGGTCATATGCTGTCTCCTAAAACAGAACTCTTCCATTTCAATTAATGCATGTGATAAGATTGGTTAAGAATGCAAGTACAAATCATTATTAACTGTCACCTAACCAATGAAAAGGCATTGGTAATCAAGACATTCTAGAGTGGTAAGCTTTTTTGCAGATTTTTACACCTGAGCTAAACAGTGATCTAACTGCGGGGTGCTCAACCTCTGGCCCCTAGGCCAAGCATGACCTGCAGAGTCATAGGTATCCAGCCTGTGGGACTTTCCACAGATTGGAAAATTTGAGAGGGGGAGCAGTAGCAATGAATAGCCACCCTACCCCATTGCCAAATTCCCAACCCCTGCACATCAGGTTGGGGCCAGGCCATACCCTCTCCCCCCTACCCCACAGCTGGAGGGGGCCAGGCCACACCCCTCTTGCCCCCCGCTCAATGGGGCCTGGCTACACCCCCTTCCCCGGCAGGGCAGGGTTGGGGCCAAATTAAGCTCCCTTTTCCTCCCTGTGGGGACAGGTTGGGTCTGAACCATGCCCCTTTTCTCTGCCAGGCCAGGCCACACCTGCTCCCATTCCCCACCTCCTCCCCCACAACCTGGGGCCACGTTGGAGCCCAGTGACCACCTCTGCACGGCCAGATGGGGACCCTGCTGCGATCAGTGTGCCAAACTGGGACCACCACGCTGATCTGGCCCATGGAGGGCCTAGGCACTGTCCATCAGGCGTGCTGGCCAAAAAGGTTGAGCACCACTGATCTAATTAATTATGTACAAGATCCACTAGCTCAAGTAAGAAGTCTTTGACCACAGAGGACAGAAACGATGGCTCAGGATCACCACTTGGCAGAGCAGTAAAAGACAACGCTAGAACCATCCTGTTCCAAATCTGGGTCCCATGGATAGACAATGAAACTATTCTGAGTTGGGGGAGGGAGTGGGAGAGGGAGAGCGTACAAAGCCCTTCCCACTTTTGAAGAAACCTTCTGAAAAGCAAAACACTCTTAACATCTCTGCCACGAATGCAGAAAGGAACCAGACAGATACAGGGGTGTCAGAAGAGGTGAAGCCTGCCTAGGTCACCATTACATGACAACAGAACTTTACATGCAAGAAACAAATTCAGATTATTCTAATTTTTTTTCCTTCTAAAGGGTTCGTTCTGAATGTTAAATAAAAATCCACTGTTTTAAGAAGCTTGTTGATCAACGGATTCCAAAGAAGGGGAGCTGCAGATGCTCAAAAACTGGTCAGTCAGACACAAAAGGTGATAAGTGACTGCTATATGTGAAGGCTGTTTACTTGTGTGCTAGTCCATGAATGGAAAAAGCAAAAGTTTTCAACCAAGACTAGGAATGAGGCATACTGATTTCACTAGCCAAATGACAGAATTAAAATAGGTTTATGTATAAACATATCTGCATTTCAAACAGTGTGCAAATTATTCAGAATTCTGAAAAAAAAGTTCTATTTGCACCAAAAATTGACCCACAACATTGTGGATTCTTTTATTTTTGTAGTCCCAGAAGGATTTTTTTTTAATTTATTGGTGAAGATCAGCATTGCCCATAATTAAAAAGCTAATCTATCAGTTATTCCCATAGCACTGAACCCCTTTATCCTTACAACCAGAGGTTAAGTTAGTTAATTCTGTTAAATGACAGGCAGGGAAAGATCTTTACATTCTTCTAGGCTGCAGACAGGACAAGCAACATGTTTACAGAAACACAGTGAGGTCCTTATAAGCATTTAGGTGCTTTTAAAGTAGATGAGTGCTCAAGTCCAACATTTAGATGGCAGTGGCATATTCAGAGCATTCAGCTAGAATCTAACCCTGCCAAAAATGAGGCCCACCAGGCCATTCTATCCGGCCCATGGAGCCCCCCCAAAAATGTAGAAAATTAATATTTATCTGCCCCTGGCTGCCTGTCATGTGGCCCTCGGTGGCTTCCCAAAAAAAATCAGGAAGCGGCCTTCTACCCAAAATAACTGCCCACCCCGACCTAGTCCAGACCGCCTCATCTTATAATGCCAAGTAGAACTAAATGCAAGTTATTCTTTAAAAAAAGAAAAAATTGCCAAGGCGTGCGAGTATCAAATGTGCAATTTTCTTCCAATACGGTTGGCGCGCAAGTTTCTCAAGGACAACGAAACTACACGGCAGCAACGGGATAAAGCTGCAAGACAAAAACCGCAAAGCAAAAACGTATCCTTCAAGACGAAGGGGCAAGCCCTCACCGAAAGCCATTTGGGCCTGCTGAAACAGGCAGAACCGGATTTGAAAGCGGGGCTGCCCCGCGGGCCCCCTGCTCCGGAGAAAACCGGCTCCTTTTTGGGCTCAGTTCCCCCAGGCATGCGGCTCGCAGGGTCGGGCCAGGCCCGCAGAGCGGCGGCTGAAGGGGGAGCCCCGTCCCCAATCCCGTGCAGCACGGAGGCAGTTTTGTTCCGGGGGCTGCGCCCCTCAGCCCTGCCCCCGCCTCATGGATGCGTCTCATGGCCGCAGGGGCGCGGCCCGGCTCCGTCTCCATCCAGCCAAAGCTCCTGGAGGCGGCCGGAGCAAGGGGAGGCTCGGCCATGTCGCTCCTCCCGCCCGCCGCACAAAGGGCCGGGCCGGGCCGGGCCGGGGCCCCTACTCACCCTCGGTCACCTCCAGCACCTTCACCTGCTCCTCGGCCGCGGCGCGCACGGCCTGCACGGGGCACAGGATGCCAGTCAGCGTCTCCACCAGCGCCTCCTTGAGGCCCTGCGCCACGGGCCCCGCTGCCGCCGCCGACATGCCGCCCCGGCCGGGCTGCAGGCCGCC